CATCGGCTAATTAGGAGACTGTCCTCATCAGTGGGGGCTCCTCCTCCTCCTCCTGATTGTATTCTCCCTTCCAATTAAAGGTCTAATTCAATGGGAATTGACAGCTCATGCTCAGCGAGGAGGGGCTGAAGATGTGGAGGTGCGGGTTTGGGGTTATAATGAGCCCAGTTCCCCTCAAGGACATGCACTTTATTTTCAACACTTTGTAACTCCCAGCAACTTTACAGTTTTAGTGGAATGGCCCAGTTTCCCCCCCTTGGTTCTTCCTGTCTTTTTGTTTTCTACACCCCATTACAACACGCCTCTTGCCTTCCCCAGGGGTGTTGAGTTGGGCCACTTTCCATGCTGGGTTTAGGAGGGTTGGGGGACAGGGCTGCGAGGATTAGGCTGACGGGGCCTCCTCAGGTTCTTCTCCCTCCAGCCCTGGACACATGGGTGCCGGTGCTATGACAGAGATTAATGGAGCCCTTCTCCATTCCCTTTGGTGTTTTCCTGCCCACAGGGGGTCTCAGGGGTCCCCCAAATCCTGACCGCTCAAGAAGGTGATGATTAGAAGTGTTTGGCCAATGCTGCACGGCTGCAAGATGGGCTCCTGGGTCACACTAGTGAATATGTCAGCTCAGGTGGAGTTACAGATCAGGGAGATGGAATAAAGAGAGTCTTTTGTGTACAAATAATGGGTGAATGTCCTCATTCACGGGTGCTAGATTTGGGAATTGCCACCTAGGATCCAAAGTCGAATTAAGCACTTAATCTCCTCTCTAAACTGCTTCTGTTCTCCGGAGCTTGTGTTTCAGGTAACAATTATACCCTTTTAATTGTTTAATTACCTATTGAGGCTGGGAAAACAGGGCTCCTGGGGCCATAGGCACCCTCTCCCTGCTTTGATCTGCTTTCCCAGGCAGGGACATCTAGGGACAAGACAAGAACTTAATGGACCTTCTTCTGAACCCCTGGCTCTGCTGTATCTTCTCAAGGAACAAGCCCAGGCTCTTCCTTGACTAAAGCCCAGCATGTCAGAGCTCACCCTGAGCCAGCACCAAAAGGAGTAGCCCCATTTCCAGGTGTTTCTGGCCAATTCTTCAGCCTGAGCCAGCACCAAAAGGAGCACCCCCATTTCCAGGTGTTTCTGGCCAATTCTGACTCCCCACTTTGCACATGGAGTCAGGATGGGACCCAGCTGCAAATGACTCCAGCTCCTGGCTTCCGGCTGAGTTTTCCCCACCTCTATTCCCAGAGACTTGCTGGGTTTGAGGGGGCAGAAAACACAGGTTTCTCATCTCCCTGTGCAGTGGGTTTTCCAGAGGAAGAAGGATGACTTTTCCTTCCTCCAGTTCTCTTAAGCAACTCCCAAAGAAAACCCTGCAGGAAATAAAAAAAACAAGATAAAAAGCACACAAACAAGGTGGAAAAAACTTAGAATTGCACTTTTAATTTTATCTTCTCATCCGGGCAAGTTTGCAGCCACCCTGTAACAGCCATTTAGTGATTAAACAGTGATTAAAAGAGCAAAATAGAGTTGAAGGTACAGAAATGCTCCCATTTTGCACAGAAGGAAAGGAACCTGAACACCACTCCCCTTTCCTTTGCCTTTGGTGGGACTGGGACAAAACCCATCTTCTGATTTCTTTCCAAGGGTAAATTGGTGGCTTCGGGCTTTGTTTGATGGTAGTTTTTTTCCTGTGTCTTATGGAAGAAGTCTGAGTTGAGCATCCCCTGTAAGCATGAACCACGGGAAGACTCTCTCCCCTTCAAAAGACGCCGGTGGAAAAGCAAAGATCTGTTCATTACTCTCGGCATCAAAAAACACCACCCACCCTTCCTCATAGTCCAAGCAGATTCGTATCCGCTTGGGGACACTGCATAGAGTCAAGCGGGTGACATTCAGAGAGGTCAGAGCCTTGTACCCATAATCAGTATGACGCAGAGCCCATACTCCCTCGCCGGCGTTCAGGCAAAACCCATGGTCCCTTGGAACCGACTCCTTGACCACCCCCATGCCCCAAAAGCCTTCTCTGTGGACCTCAACTTCCCAGCAATGCCACCCTGATGTGAAGCCCCTCGAGCCCAGCACACAGGGATGAAATTTGAACCTCCTTGGGTTGTAGGGCAGGTCCTGCTCACAGCATTCCCACCGCACGAGCTTGCAGTCTTCCGAGAGACGAAGCAAGGGGTTGGCCGTCTCTGGGTCCAGCGTCATCTGTGCTGGAGATGGAGAGAGAGTCAGGCTCATGGCAGCAGATTTGGGGGGAAACGGGGCTCATTCTCTCCCTTCCCATTCCTCTGACCTGGTTGGGCCCCCTCCAGGCATCGCCTGGTGGTGGGATCAGGATGGCAGAGGGGGGAAAGGAGGCAGCAGAGCACTTTAGGTCAATTTAATACTTGGGTACATGTTGGGATCACTTACATGTCAAGGGAACCTCGACCTCCAGGAAATCTAGAGGGAAGAGAAAAATGGGAAAGTTGGTCTGATTGTTTCTGCAAAAAGTCCCGAGAGTCAGGAACAGGCTTGGGGGAATGTTGAGAAACTTGAGGGGGCAGAGGAGAAGAGGAAGAAGACAGGCAGGGAACATCAGGCCAACACTCACTGCTCGTTCTCTGTCTCCTTGTGGGATCTTGAAAGAAATAACCCCTCATTCAGCACCCAGGATGCCTTTCTTTACCCTGGCTTCACTCCGTCCCTCCCCACCAAGAAGCACAATGGCATTGGCCTTTCTGGACCTGCCTTTGGTACCTGGAAATTTCTCCATAAGTTCCTTGATGGCTGCGGTTTTCTTGGTGAAACCAGATAACATCTTTTCCAGCTCCGGGGAAATCTCGAGTGAGTGGGAGAGTGTTTCCCTCTGGCCCCTGGAAGGGAAGAGGGGATGGATTTACACCTGGTTGGAGTTTGCTGCTCCGTGTTTTCTCAGCACTCCCTGCTCCTGCCTCCTGCCAGCCTGTGTCCAAATTCATCATTCATTCAGGAGAGAGAGGCAGAGCCCTCCTTCCAACCCCCCCCGAGGCCTTGGTCAACTCCAAGGGCTGTACTGCAGAAATGCCAACCCGTCCCTACGTGCTTTCTCCCCATGTCCTGCCACAGAGCTGCTCTGTGGTGGTGACATGAGAAGGTACTGACAGGAGGAGGACTGCATACCTGCTCCAGGTGGTTCCAATGTCCTGGAGGAGAGAGAAAAAGAGACTCAGTGGGATGGAACACCTCCCCTTGGAGTACCAGGGGACCCACTCTAAGTCCCTCTTGAAGTGGGTTGGGGTAGAAAAGTGAGGGCTGGAGACCAAGCTCAAGGTGGGCCTTCCCAGCCAGTTTGGAAAGCCTGGGCTCTCACCTTCAGGAGCTGCCAGTCTCGCTGCTGGTACGTCCTCTCCATCTCCTCACTCAGCGTGCCCAAGCTCGTTGTCTCCTCCAAAAGCCTCTGGAGGATTTCTTCATGAGCTTTTGTTATCTCTGGGTCCAGCTGCTCCAGCTGGACAGAAGCAGAAGCGGGGAAAGGGAAGCAGAGAAAAGGAGAAGAGCATCAAGAGCCAAGGGTGGGCCATTCCTTAGTGGGACTGACCAAAATGAAGTATTTGGGGAAGATACAAACCCCCTCTTCCTTCCCCACAGCCCTACAGCATCACCCACCCCTGGGGGAGAGGAGGAGGAGGAGATGTTCCTCCTTTCTTCCCCCACCCTCGGCCCAGGAAAACTGATGGGCACCTACAGTGTGGTCCTGGATTCTGTCTAGTCTGTCCATCACAGAAGATTGTAGCGCCTCTTGCTCTGATTTCAGAAGGTGCAGTTGGGTCTGAATTTGTTTCTGAGAGGAAAGAAAGAAGGCCTGTGTGGAATGGCATCATGGTCTGGCAGCCTCAGCAGACGCAATGGGGAATTCTTGACGTCTCCTAAGGTAAGTGTTGGAGGAGTTTTGGGACCCACATGACTGTTTCAGGGAGCTTTACCTCCCTCATAATCTTTTCTTTTTCTATTTTGACAAAAGTCAAGGCACTTTCAGGTTGGTGTGGGGTGGAAGAAGGGCTGAGGAACTCTTCTGTCCTTTCCTATTGATCTTCTGCAGAGCTGAACTTGATAAGGGACCCCCACCTCAGAGGACAGAGCCATTGATGGAGTTTTGCAGAGGGATAGTGGTGGGGAGAAGCCCTGCGTCTCTGTTTCCTACCCTCCCCTAAGTCCCTGCTTGTGGCTGAACCCTGGGGGAGAGGATCCCTTGGTCCCCAAGAGCATGGTGCTCCTACGTTCACCTCTTCCTCAGGACAGGCAATGCCACCTAGTGGTGGGGAGAAGCCCTGCGTCTCTGTTTCCTACCCTCCCCTAAGTCCCTGCTTGTGGCTGAACCCTGGGGGCGAGGATCCCTTGGTCCCCAAGAGCATGGTGCTCCTACGTTCACCTCTTCCTCAGGACAGGCAATGCCACCTCAAGAGCTGGTATCAAGAGACAAGGATGGGTGAGTCCACAGGGGGTTTATCCCACAGGCCAAAGGCTGTACAGGGATCTCCACCCATCAACAGCACCATCACCAGGAGCCTCTGGACCTTTGTACCTCAACACACCTATGACCTCCTCACCTTGTACTGCTTGGCAGCCTCATCTACGGGAACCACAGAATGGTTACGGTGCACCTCGGATCTGTCACACACCAGGCAGATGAGCCTTTTGTCTTCCTGGCAGAAGAGCTTCAGGGGTTCCTTGTGTTTCTCACACAAGTTCTCCCCTCCTTCCACCTCTCTGGCTGGTTCCTTGTTTGATCTCTTGGCTGCTTCAATCACGTTGGCCAACTCCCTGTTGGGGCGGAGGCTCATCTGATCCTCCATCTCCCTGCACTGGGGGCAGGAGAAGTTGGTGTTCTGTCCTTCCCAAGTCCGAGTGATGCACGACCGGCAAAAGTTGTGCCCGCAGTGGATGGACACAGGGTCCTGGAATATTTCCAGGCAGATGGAGCAGCGGGCTTCATCCTGGAGAATTTCCAGAGGCGTCCTGGCTGCCATGAAGAGTGACTGTCCAAGCTCCTTTCTCTCTCAAGTGACCAGAAAGGTGAGAGATTGCTCTTCCTGGTTCTACACCATTGGTTACGCTGAGACCCAGCCCCTTCCCAGCAGGGCTTCAGGCCATACATTAACTTAGATTGCTCCAGGAAGTAGAGGTTGGACAGCTGTGGAGGCTGGAGATTAGAGATGCCCATCCCATTTTCAGCCTTTCCTGGAGGCACTGTGATTTTTCAGTCTCACAGCTGAGATGGAGCAAGAAAAGGCTTCGTTAAGTCCTTTCCTTTGAGCTTTACTTGAGGCAGGTCAAGGGAAAGCAACAAAACCACCAGGAATTTCCGGGCTGCTGGTGGCACAGAACCATTTTCCCAAGTTCTAACAAAACAAAAAAAAAAAAAAAAAAAAAAAAAAAAAAAAAAAAAAAAAAAAAAAAAAAAAGGGAAAACAGAACCAGAGCCAGCTTCTCCAGCCCCGCAGGAGCATGATTGGTCTCCATCAAGAGTCAACACGGTGGAGCGTCAAGGTAAGGAGAAGTGGTGTCCCCAGGGGCTGTTGCCCAAATCCTGGGCTTTCTTCTCCTGCTCCTCCCAGGGTGAGATTCCCCAGAGAAATCGTGGAGGGCACCCAAATGTTAAAAAATCCACCTATGGTGCCTTTTTCTCAATCTCCTGCTCTTGGAAAAGCCAGGAGAATGAGTTTGGAGGTGGAGACTGGGACTCGTTTGATCGCCTTTATTCGAGTCCCGATATGCAGTGTGGTTTCCTGCATCAGACCAAAGGCTTGTCCAGAGCGTGCCATGTCCATCTCTCTCTCTCAGGGAGCCAGCTGGATCCTGGACTCCCAAACCTAGAAGAAAGGCAGGATTTTCTCTCAGTTGAAAGAAATCAGAGGAAAAGCAAAAGCCAAAGGGTCTTGTTATGGGCATGGAAGAAAGCCACGTGTCCCTTCTCGTCACCCAGGGAGACCCAGATGGTCCTCAGCCTCCCCTTCCAAGACCAAACTGTTTGGAAGGGGGTGAAAGCTTGAAGCCTGTCCCCACAGATGCCAAGGGCCCAGATTCCTTGGGATGGGTGGAGGTTAATCCAACCCTTTCTCCAAGCCAAATCTCCGGCTGCCCCCACAGCCCAAAATCCACAGCTCCCCATTTGCACCTCAAGTAGTGCCTCCCCACCATGAACACTTTATGACCCAACACTCAGCAGTAGGTGTCAAATCTCTGGGGGTTGTTGGCCAAATTCTGTGGCGTTTCATTCCACCTCAAGCTCCTCTGGTCCTTGGAGCTTAGATTCCTTGTGCCAGCCCAGAGGAAGACCGGAGACCTCTTGAACTCCTCCAGTGGCCCATTTTGGTGGCTTTTTTCACAACCCAGCTCTGGGATAGGATCATAGCACTTGGCTTCGTGGGGAAGAAGCCTCCTAGTTGCAAACCTACCTCTGGGATAGGATCAAAGGAGCTTGGGTTTACAGGGAGGAAGAGGAGGACCTTCCTCCTCCTGGTTAAAAACAGTGGGGAAAACAACTCCCAGCCCTCACCGCACACAGAGGAGTGAGAAGAGGGCAGGTGCATGTGATGGTTCCTCCTGCCTCCAGCCTCCCATCTCTTTTGGTCCCACCAGATGTGAGTGAGCAGATAAGGAGGTTGGAGGAGGGCGGGACGGCTCCTCATCAGGACCAGGATGGGTTGGCGCCTCCTGGATGAGGGTGAGTTTGGGCTTTGGGAAGAAATCTCATGGAACTTGGGGTGGGAGACCCTCCTGGACCAGGACCAGCCACGGAACAGGATTTTGATGTCTTAAAGGAGGGAGCAAGTTGTCCATGAGTCAGCGACAGGAGCACCTTCCTGGACCTTCTCCACCTTCTGACGTTTCTCTGCTTTCCGTGGCTTCTCCTTTTTCCTGGGGCTTATCCAACTTCCAGAGGCTTCTCTACCTTCTGGGGCTTCTCCAGCTTCCAGGAGTTTCTCCAATTAACAGGGGCTTCTCTGTCTTCCAGAGGGGTGAAACACTGGAAGAGGTTTCCCAGAGAAGCTGGAGATGCCCCATCCCTGGAGATGGTCAAGGGCAGGTTGGACAGGGCTTGGAGCAACCTGGTCTGGTGGGAAGTGTCCCTGCCTGTGGCAAGGGGGTGGGACTGGATGGTCTGTAAGGTCCCTTCCAACCCAAACCCTCCTGTGATATCAGCCCCATAAGGGGTTGCTCCCCTCCAGCAGCACAGGTGAGGCCAACATCTGGGTAGGGGGACCAGTTTGGGGCTTCCCAGTACGGTGGGGGGGGACAAAGAGGGTGAGGGCACCAAACTCAAGCCCAGGATGGATGGGCAAAGACTGGGATGATGCAGCCTGGAAAGGAGAAGGATCAAAACGCTGCAAGGGGCCAATGGGGTTAGAGAGAGGGCAGAGCCCATTATCAGATCCCCCCAGTGTCCCTCATTACACGCTCATTAACCCAATTAATTGGTTAATTACCCACTGAGGCTGGGAAAAGAGGGCTCCTGGGGCCATAGGCATCCTCACCCTGCTCTGATCTGCTTTCCCAGGCAGAGACCTCTGGGGACAAGAGGAGGACTTGATGGACCTTCCCCTGAACCCCTGGGTCTCATCTCCCTGTGCAGTGGATTTTGGAGAGGAACCCAGATGACTTTTCCTTCCTCCAGTTCTCTTAAGCAACTTCCAAAGAAAACCCCAGAGGAAAAAATATAACCAAGATAAAAAGTACACACAAACAAGACAGAAATGGTTTAGAATAACACTTTTATGTTTAACTCCTAATCAGGGCAGCCATCGTGTAACAAGCACTTCTTGATTAAACAGCGATTGAAAGATCAAAATAGAGCTGAAGGCACAGAAATGCTCCCATTTTGCCCTAAAGGGAAGGAACCTGAACACCGCTCCCCTTTCCTGTCCCTTTGGTGGGATTGGGACAAAACCCAGCCCCTGGTTTCTTTCCCAAGGGGAACTCGAGGGCTTTGGGGGTTGGGTTTTTTATGTCCTGTGCCTTAGGGAAGAAGTTTGAGTTGAGCATCATCGCCCACCATGAACCACGGGAAGACCAAACAACAGGAAGACTCTCTCCCCTTGGAAAGACGCCGGTGGAAAAGCAAAGATCCGTTCTTTGCTCTCGGCATCAAAAAACACCACCCTCCCTTCCTTATAGTCCAAGCAGATTCGTATCCGCTTGGGGACACGGCGTAGAGTCAAAGGGGTGCGAGCAGGAGAGGTCCAAGCCCTGTACCCATTACGGGTATGACACAGAGCCCATATCCCCTCATCGGGATTCAGGAGAAACCCAGAGTCCCTTGGAACTGATTCCTTGGCCACCCCGATGGCCCAAAATCCTTCTCTGTGGACCTCCACGTCCCAGCAGTGCCACCCCGATGTGAAGCCCCTCGAGCCCAGCACACAGGGATAGACTGTGAACCTTTTTGGGTTGGAGGGCAGGTCCTGCTCAGGGCGTTCCCACCGCACGAGCTTGCGGTCTTCCGAGAGGTGAAGCACGACGTGGGCCGTCTCTGGGTCCAGCGTCATCTGTGCTGGAGGTGGAGAGAGAGTCAGGCTCATGGCAGCAGACTTGGGGGGAAACAAGGCTTTTTCTCTCCCTTCCCATCCCTCTGACCCGGGTGGGACCCCTCCAGGCATCGCCTGGTGGTGGAACCAGGATGGGGGAAGGGGGAAAGGAGGCAGCAGAGCACTTGAGGTCAATCTAATGGTTGGGCACGTGTTGGGATCACTTACAGAATCACAAAATCTTCTAGGTTGGAAGGGACCTTAAAGATCATCTTGTCCAACCATCAACCTAACTGACAAAAATAGACACCCACACAACAAACAAGGAGCATCATCACTAAACCATACCTCCCAGCACTTCATCAACCCGTCTTTTGAACACCTCCAGGGATGGTGCCTCAACCACCTTACTTGTCAAGGGAAGCTCGAACTCCGGGAAATCTAGAGGGAAGAGAGAAATGGGAGAAACACAAAGATTAGTTGGTCTGATTGTGGGTTTCTGCAAAAGTCCCGGGAGTCAGGAAGAGACCTGGGGGAATGTTGAGAAACTTGAGGAGGCAGAGGAGAAGAGGAAGAAGACAGGCAGGGAACATCAGACCAACGCTCGCTGCTCATTCTCTGTCTCCTTGTGGGATCTTGAAAGAAATAACCCCTCATTCAGCACCCAGGATGCCTTTCTTTCCCCTGGCTTCACTCCATCCCTCCCCACCAAGAAGCACAATGGCATTGCCCTTTCTGGACTTGCCCTTGGTACCTTGGAATTTCTCCAGAATTTCCTTGATGGCTGCGGATTTCTCAGTGAAATCCGAGAATTTCTTTTCCAGCTGCGGGGAAATCTGGAGTGAGTGGGAGAGCGTTTCCCTCTGGCCCCTGGAAGGGAAGAGGGGATGGATTTACACCTGGTTGGAGTTTGCTGCTCCGTGTTTTCTCAGCACTCCCTGCTCCTGCCTCCTGCCAGCCCAGGTCCAAATTCATCATTCATTCAGGAGAGAGAGGCAGAGCCCTCCTTCCAACCCCCCGTGGCCTCGGTCAAGCCCAAGGGCTGTACTGCAGAAGAGCCAACCCGTCCCCAAGTGCTTTCTCCCCGTGTCCTGCCACAGAGCTGCTCTGTGGTGGTGACATGGGGACAGGAGAAGGACCACAGACCTGCTCAACAAAATAGAGCTGAAGGCACAGAAATGCTCCCATTTTGCCCTAAAGGGAAGGAACCTGAACACCGCTCCCCTTTCCTGTCCCTTTGGTGGGATTGGGACAAAACCCAGCCCCTGGTTTCTTTCCCAGGGGTAACTCGAGGGCTTTGGGGGTTGGGTTTTGGGGTTTTTTTGTCCGGTGCCTTAGGGAAGAAGTTTGAGTTGAGCATCCCCCATCACCACAAACAACAGGAAGACTCTCTCCCCTTGGAAAGACGCCGGTGGAAAAGCAAAGATCCGTTCTTTGCTCTCGGCATCAAAAAACACCACCCTCCCTTCCTCATAGTCCAAGCAGATTCGTATCCGCTTGGGGACACGGCGTAGAGTCAAGGGGGTGACATCAGGACAGGTCAGAGCCGTGTACTCATTTAGGAGATGACCCAGAGCCCATACCCCTTCATTGGGATTCAGGACAAAAAAACGGTCCCTTGGAACCGACTCCTTGGCCACCCCGATGGCCCAATAGCCTTCTCCATGGACCTCCACGTCCCAGCGGTGCCACCCCGATGTGAAGCCCCTCGAGCCCAGCACACAGTGCTTGACTTTGAACCTTTTTGGGTTGGAGGGCAGGTCCTGTTCATAGTGTAGCCACTGCACGAGCTTGCAGTCTTCCGAGAGACGAAGCGAGGGGTTGGCCGTCTCTGGGTCCAGCGTCATCTGTGCTGGAGGTGGAGAGAGAGTCAGGCTCATTGCAGCAGACTTGGGGGGAAACAGGGCTTTTTCTCCCCTTCCCACCACTCTGACCCAGTTGGGACCCCTCCAGGCATCGCCTGGAGGTCGCACCAGGATGGGAGAAAGGGGAAAGGAGGCAGCAGAGCGCTTTAGATCAATCTAGTGGTTGGGCACGTGTTGGGATCACTTACTTCTCAAGGGAACCTCGAACTGCAGGAAATCTAGAGGGAAGAGAGAAATGGGAGAAACACAAAGATTAGTTGGTCTGATTGTGGGTTTCTGCAAAAGTCCCGAGAGTCAGGAAGAGACTTGGGGGAATGTTGAGAAACTTGAGGAGGCAGAGGAGAAGAGGAGGAGGACAGGCAGGGAACATCAGCGGCCCTTGGTCATCACCCGCCCCTGTGGGAGAGGAGGAGGAGGAGGAGGAGATGTTCCTCCTTTCTTCCCCCACGCTCTGCCTTCCCACCAAGAAGCACAATGGCATTTCCCTTTCTAGACCTGCCCTGGATACCTTGGAATTTCTCCAGAAGTTCCTTGATGTTTGCCGAATTCTCAGTGAAATCCGAGAATTTCTTTTCCAGCTCCGGGGAAATCTCGAGTGAGTGGGAGAGCGTTTCCCTCTGGCCCCTGGAAGGGAAGAGGGGATGGATTTACACCTGGTTGGACTTTGCTGCTCCGTGTTTTCTCAGCACTCCCTGCTCCTGCCTCCTGCCAGCCCGGGTCCAAATTCATCATTCATTCAGGAGAGAGAGGCAGAGCCCTCCTTCCAACCCCCCGTGGCCTCGGGGATCTCTTTCTCTGCTTTCCTATGGATCTTCAGGAAAGCTGACCTTGATGAGGGACCTGCACCCCAGTGGAGAAGAACGATTATGGCTGCTGGATAAAGAAGCAATGTTGAGGCTCAAGAAACCTCTGGCACTGCAAATCATGAGGTTATAAGGTGTCTGAGGGATTGTGGGGTTGAGAAATTCTACCCCTCTGTTTCTTACCCTTGCCTAAGCCCCTCCTCGTGGCTGAACCCTTGGGGAGAGGACCCCTTAGTCCCAAGAGCGTAGTGCTCCTAAGTCCACCTCTTCCTCAGGGCAGGCAATGCCACCTCAAGAGTCGGTAGCAAGAGACAAGGATGAGTGAGTCCACAAGGGGTGTATCCCTTAGGCCAAAGTCTCTACAGGTATTTACACCCATCAAGAGCACCAACACTTGGAGCTTCTGGATCTTTGTGTCTCAACACGCCCATAAGACCCCTCACCTTGTACTTCTGGGCAGCCTCATCTACGGGAACCACAGAATGGTTACGGTGCACCTCGGATCTGTCACACACCAGGCAGATAAGCCTTTTGTCTTCCTGGCAGAAGAGTTTCAGGGGTTCCTGGTGTTTCTTGCACAAGTTCTCCCCTCCTTCCTCCTCTCTGACCTGTGACACGTTCAATCTCTTGGCTGCTTCAATCACGTTGGCCAACTCCCTGTTGGGGCGGAGGCTCTTCTGGTCCCCCGTCTCCCTGCACTGGGGGCAGGAGAAGTTGGTGGTCAGTCCTTCCCAGGTCTCAGTGATGCACGACCGGCAAAAGCTGTGCCCACAGTGGATGAACACGGGATCCTGGAATATTTCCAGACAGATGGAGCAGCAGGCTTCATCCCGGAGGATTTCCACGGCTGTCCTGGCTGCCATGAAGAGTGACCGTGGTGGTTTCAGTCTCCAAGTTTCTTTCAATTTTGAAAGAACAGGAAGGAGAGGGATTTCCTGATTCCACTCCATTGGTTAAACTGAGATCCAGCCCCTTCCCAGCAGGGATTTAGGCAGTAAGGTTTGACAGCTGAGGAGGAAGGGAACTGGAGACACCCATCCCATTTTCACCCTTTCCTGAAGGCACCAGGATTTTTCAGTCTCCAAAGCCCCTTTGAATCAGTGGAGTACAGTGGATTTGGTGACTCAACAGCAGCTGGAAGTGGAGTTTCACACCCCAGTGGCACCTCAGAGAGGTTGTGGTGCGGCTGGGGGTGGGAGACAACCAGCGGCTGAAAATGCCTCTGAGATATCAGGGATAACAGGACCTGTCCAGGGCTTGAGATGGACCTCAGCAGCCTTCAGGAGAGCCTTTGTAGGGATTTTGGGGAGGACTCCAGCATCCCCTGGGTGACCTGAAGGGTTTAAATGTACAGTTTGCTGCAGGTCAGGGCCTTCCTTTTCTGTCAGAAGAAATTTCTGCAGCTCCTGACCCCTTGGGACATCAGCTTGGCCCTTGGGGTAAGGTGGGCCATCAGACTAACACCCTGCAGAGACTGCTCTGGACTGCAGATGATCACGTGCCCCTGGAGGTTGATGGTGCCTCCAAGACCCTCCAAGGTCCCAGCAGGTTTCTCTGAGCTACAGTGACAGAGCTGAGAGGTCTGGACTGATGCTTTTCCTTCCTTTTCTGGCTTGGAGCCAGGTATGGAGCTGCTGGCTCTTCTTGTTTCTTCCCTTCTCCCCTCCTTGCCACTGGAATGACAGAAGAGAACACTAATTGCCCTCCTGATCCCTTCCTGGCTTGTCCCCAGCCCTGCCTCCTGCCAGTCTGTGTCGAAATTCACCATTAATTAAGTAGAGGGAGGAAGACCCCTCCTTCCAACCCCCCCTGGCCTCAGTGAAGCCTCTGTAGGGCTGTTTGGGAGGACTCTAACATCCCTCCGTGTCTCTCTTTACTTCACCACAGACAGGCCTCTGCTTTGTTTGTCACCAGGTGTGAACTAAAATGTTGTTTGCTTCCTACTCACTTTTTTACTGTGTGAGGAAACAGTTAATTACTGAGCTTCTTATTGTGTGAGAGAATGGTTAGACCCGGAGCTGATAGTGATAAGGATGGGATAACCAGAAGTAGTTCATCACTGCAAGGTTCTCTCACAGCCAGCGGAACCGGTAAACATTGCCTTAAAGCCGAATGCACGACCGGTAAGACCAAAACAATATCCAATAAAATTAGAAGCAAAAAGAGGACTAGAACCATTGATAGAGAAGCTCATTAAACACAGACTGTTGCGGGGAATGTCAATCAGAATATAATACTCCCATTTTCCCCCAATCGGATGAGTAGGTCCAAGCTTTGCGAGCTATTAATATAATTGTAGGAGATGTACCCCCAGGGGTGGCTCATCCACGTCCTTTGCTGACCACCAGAAAAGAAACAGATGAAGGGTTTCCTGTATTGGATTTAAAGGAGGCTTTCTTTTGCATTCCAGCAGCAGCAGAAGAAAGTCAGAAGCTGTTGAAGCCTTTGAGTGGGAAATCCCACTGCAGGAGGGAAAACACAGCTCTGTTGGACTGTGTCACTGCAAGGATTTAAAAATAGTTCCACGGTTTTTGGCAATCAGCTAAAGAATTAGAGCATTGGCACGAAGGAAATGTGACAGTAACCTGGTTACAGCGTGTGGACGACGTTCTCCTGGGGACAGAGACAAAACCCGACTGCGTGCATGACACAATTGGCCTTTTGAATTTTCTAGGAGCAGCTGGATCTGGAGTATCTCAGGAAAAGGCTCCAGTGGTGCTGCCGAGCGTTGTTTCTCTGGACTTTGCGATTCCGCAGGGAGAAGGGAGCCTGGGAATAGAGCGGGAAGAGGCAATCTGTCCAACACCTCACCCAAGCTCCCAACAGGAGCCGGGAGCGTTTCTGGGAATGGCCGGGCGGTGTCACCTGTCGGTCGTTAATTCGGGCTCGTTAGCGAAACCCTTGCCTGAAGCTATCGAGGGCCCTGGAAATCTCCTGGGACGCACTCCCGTCTTTTTGCCCTCTACACCCCGCTACAACGTGCCTCTTGCTTTCCCCGGGGGTGTCGAGCGCCTCGTCCACCCCCCCGGGTGTGGGTTCCAGTGACCCGCAGCGGCGGCCGTCCCTCGGGGAAGCTCTTTCGGTGACACGGGCAGGGGCCAGCCCTCGGGGGCGAAGAACCTTCTCTGTTCCTGAATGACCATGATCTCTGGGGTGCTGGCTGCTCCCAGCCACGGCCTTATCTCTGTAGCAATCCCCAGAAGCTGATGGAAACCACATAACAGAGGTGCTGGAGAAAGGTCTTTCTCCCGGGCTGGGGACTGTGTGGGGTTTAGGGGACAAGGGTTGGTGGTGGGGAGGGGTGGCTTCACAGAGTCATGGAATGGTTTGGGTTGGAAGGGCAGGGACACCTCCCACCACACCAGGTTGCTCAAAGCCCCATCCAGCCTGGCCTTGAACCCCTCCAGGGATGGGGCAGTCACAGCTTCTCTGGGCAACCTGCCCAGGCTCTCACCACCCTCATCATGGAGAATTTCTCCCTTATTGCAGGTCTAAATCTCCCCTCTTCCAGTTTAAAGCCATTACCCCTTGTCTTATCTCTACATGCCCTGGTTAAAAGTCCCTCCCCATCTCTCCTGGAGCCCCTTTAAGGACTGGGAGGGGCTCTAAGGTCTCCCTGGAGGTGTCTCTTCTCCAGGCAGCACAACCTGTGCTGCTTTGGGCTGGGACAGGTCTGAATTTTCTTCAGAGGCTGGTGTGGGGCTGGTTTGGATTTGTGCTGGAAACGGTGTTGGTAACACAGGGCTGTTTTTGTTACTGCTGAGCAGAGCTCACAGCGAGTCAAGGCCTCTTCTGCTTCTCACACAGCCCTGCCAGCGAGCAGGCCGGGGGGACAGGGGCAAGACAGCTGACACCAATTGATCAAGGGGACATTCTGTACCGTGTGACATCTTGCTTGGCATCTGAAGCTGGGAGAAGAAGGGAGGGGACATTCAGAATTACTGCATTTGTCTTCCCAAGTCACCGTTACACTGATGGAGCCCTGCTTTCCTGGTGTCTCTTCTCCAGGCAGCACAACCTGTGCTGCTTTGGGCTGGGACAGGTCTGAATTTTCTTCAGAGGCTGGTGTGGGGCTGGTTTGGATTTGTGCTGGAAACGGTGTTGGTAACACAGGGCTGTTTTTGTTACTGCTGAGCAGAGCTCACAGCGAGTCAAGGCCTCTTCTGCTTCTCACACAGCCCTGCCAGCGAGCAGGCCGGGGGGACAGGGGCAAGACAGCTGACACCAATTGATCAAGGGGACATTCTGTACCGTGTGACATCTTGCTTGGCATCTGAAGCTGGGAGAAGAAGGGAGGGGACATTCAGAATTACTGCATTTGTCTTCCCAAGTCACCGTTACACTGATGGAGCTCTGCTTTCCTGGAGATGGTTGAACCATCCTCGAGATGGCCTACCCGTGGGAAGTAGTGAATGAATTCCATGTTATTCTCTTCCTGTTAAACTGTCTCTGTCTCAATCCACGAGGTTTCTCACTTTTACTCTTCTGATTCTCTCTCTCCCATCCCAGCAGCGGAAAGAGAGTTGAGAGACTGCAGGGTCCTGGTTGGGGTTAACCATGACAAAGCCCAACTCTCTCAGCCTCACAGCAGAGGAGCTCCAGCCCTCACAGCATTTCCGTGGCCTCCTCTGGCCCCACTCCAATGGGTCCATGACTCAAGCTGCCAAGAGGGTTGTTTCATACCGTGGGAGGCACAATCAATAGAAAATAGGGAAAAAAAAATAGGAAAAGTTTGTTGTTCTCTCTTCCTTGATGGCAATAGTCCAGAGAATTCCTTGCCCTGGTGCCGGAGCTCGAGATGGCCTACCCGTGGGAAGTAGTGAATGAATTCCATGTTATTCTCTTCCTGTTAAACTGTCTCTGTCTCAATCCACGAGGTTTCTCACTTTTACTCTTCTGATTCTCTCTCTCCCATCCCAGCAGCGGAAAGAGAGTTGAGAGACTGCAGGGTCCTGGTTGGGGTTAACCATGACAAAGCC